GCCCTGGCTGAGCCAATCTCCTGACATGAACCCCATCGAAAACCTCTGGGCCATACAGCAAGTCAAGAAACAACCAAAAAATTAACTTCGAAGAGCGATCTACTCCAAGTTTTGAAGCAAGAGTGGGCGAAAATCCCACAATCTAAAATTGACGAGATGATTTTCACGATGCTCCAAAGGATCAACGAACTCCACGAAGCGAAAGGAAGATCTACTAGATATTAATTAAATTATGAATATATCAGTTCATGTGAATATGACTGAAAATTTTTATTTTTTCTGAAAAGGTGGTGTCTATTTACTTGTGACTACACTGTGTTTGTATCAAAGTAAATAAATATGAATTTAGGTTGTTTCTCATAAACAAACTTTCATTGGTATATAGATATAAATTAGTAATATTACGAGAATGGTTAGCACCCATTTAAGAGCAATAAAGTTATTGTAACTACAGAACTAATAACATATTTTATATATTTTTCTTTAAAGTGTTATAATGAAAATGTCAATCAATATACTTGGAAATTAACAAGCCAAATATATTTAAAGTTTAATTTTGTCGTTCAAAGGAATATTCAAACAATCAAAAGTTTGTACTGAAACAGCAATTTTAGTTTGTTTGTTGTTATTAAGCACAAAGCTACACAATGGGCTATCTATGTTGTACCCACCACGGGTATTGAAACTTGGTTTTTAGCCTCATAAGCCTTCAGACTTACCGCTGAGTCACTGGGGAGGGAGAGTTAAAATTACTTTAAAGTTATTTAATATCCTGAGGTGTAAAAGTTATGACGATTATTTTTAATTTTATTTACCAACAAATTCAGGATATTTAACTGTTTTATAACAAATTTTACTGGATAGTTATAAACCTTAATTTAATTGGTTTTTGTGTACTTTGAGAATTGTATATAAACACGGTAATTCTGATAACGTGATATGTTTTCATTTTCTTGTTTCTCATTAAGAATACAGCTACTCAATCTGTATTCTCTACTGAGGGTAATAATTGAAATCCGATTTTTAGCGTTATAAGTCCTCAGACTTACCGCTAAGCCACTGGGAAAAGCGACAGGTTTGTGCAATTTTGTTTGTTTGTTTGTTTTTAAGCACAAAGCTACACAACGAGTTATCTGTGCTGTGCCCACCACGAGTTTTTCAACATCATAAACCTTCAGACTTACTGATGAGCTACTGTGGACTTTACAATAACATCAAAACATTCTTCATAATACATGCATGGAATTAAAACTAAAATTTTTAAACACTAACTTTATTAACGTGATTAAGTAAATATTTTTTTTTTTTAGTAATGACTATAACTTAACGACCAAATGTGTTACTGCGCATTTCAGAGTGTCGTTAACAATGAAGAGGTTTGATGTTCCAGGGGAAAAACGTCATAAAATGCTTTGGCTCGAAATTTATGTTAAATAAAATATGTTATTTCTGAAGAAAAGGTATTGAGGTGTCTTCTTTTATAATCTAATTCTACAATGGTTTAACAAATTTACAAAGTTGTACAATAGGCTATCTGCGCTGTGTCCACAACGGTGATCATACGCAGAATTCGTGGTTGATAAGCCCTCAAACTTACTTAGAGCCACAGGAGAACATTTATAGAACTAAAAAACATACCGTTTTAATATAAGGATATTATATGCGTGTGGATGTATTTTCATCGCTATGGTGTAACGTTGATACTACTTGAATTCGAAATCTGTCTTGAAATGTTCCATTTCTATGCCATTCATAAAGGTTATTATCTTTCAATAAAAACTTATGCGCGTAAAACTTACAAGTGTCATTAGTTTCCTAAAACGTTGAGGTAATTATTTAAAAAAAAGTGCTTGATTAAGTGTTATGAGTCAGAGAAACTATTTGAATTTCAATCAATAACTTCATTTAATTTTAGTTCTAGAAAGATTGTTCAGATTCACAAAGAAATAGCCTGATTAGTAAGAGAACTCACTCTTTTAGTGAATATTATTTACTTAACCATTATTTATATGTCTAAGTGCTCCATTGTATATCAGTGTATTTAAACTATATTTTCAACAAGCCTTTCTTTCTTAAAGGAGCACCTAACAAAGTGACAAACTCAAGTTGGTTTTTGTTACTAACATCTATGTAATGTTTTTCATTATTGTTATTTTTCAGGTACATTCTGGAAAACAGGATTTTAGGAAACTCAACAAAAATATTTTCTCCTTAACAACCACATAGGACCTTTTCACTACTTATAATGATTTGGAAAAAACTTATTTTTCTACTTACAACGGTGTTCCCAGAAGTAAGTAAATGTCAATTTCCTATTTGCATATTTTTAGGAATTATAAAAGCGTCAATTCTTTATCATAAATATGTTCAACAAAAATGTCAGAATGTCTCAAACATAACATTGTTTGATAATTTAATGAATCTAAGAATAGAGTACATGACGTGGTAACAATGATATTGTTTGATAAGCAGTCCATTACGTCAAACATCGTTGTATGAGCACTAATTAATTGAAGAAGATATGACAGTGATAAGCTTTAAGCATCTTACTACCAACGTTGTCGATACTTAATGTACATTATGATATTAAACTAGTTAAAATTGAACCAGGATAAGTAATGATGGCTGCTTCATATTTTCAGGTAATTAATATATATTGAACTGAGCAGTAGTTGTTGATAAGTGAACAACCAGATGTTTACTCAGTACTTATAAAGTAGTGGGTTCTCAGTAAAATTAGTCAAACTAATATTTTTGGAAATTAATCCTGCTGGAGGTTTCCTATTCCAAGTCATAAGAGCCTCCATCGTTCTATTTTCTAGATCTTACTACAAATCAAAAGGGAGTCAAATATTACTCTTTAACACTTCGTGTGTAATCGAACATGTAATAATATTAATTACTGTAGAAATGAGTACATAACTTGTGGTAACAGTAGAATATCTAATATTTATCTACATATCAATACAGGACCTTATCGTTAATATTGAAATATATTTACTAAATCATACAATGATTTTTCCCTCAATTTTTAGGCGTTTTCATTTCGCTCAAGGAAGAACTCCATGTTAAAGAGCATAGTATTTTCATCTCAAGATGACACTGTAGACAAGGAACTTCTTCATAAACAGCTGAAAGCTTACTGGATGTGTAGAGGTTCAACGACTACCATACCAACACGTAAGATCAAAGAAGGAAATCACAATACCCTCAATACATTTGTTTATCACTGTGTAATATCGAGCAAATAATTATGAAATACAGCTCACGGATTACCATACATGTATATTAGTGACTAATCTTTCACTAATTATATAAATTTTATTAATTCGTTATTTTTAAGCTGATCGAACACTATCAATACGAAATTATATTTTGAAGGTTTAAATATCTTGGAGCAACTTCGAAGTAAATCAAACTGAAATAATATTAAATCCAAGTCCTGACAAAAAGAAATATTTGGTCTTCTTCTAAATTCCAGGTTTCAACATGTGTCCCCAAACGTTCGATGGTTGGGGTTGCTGGGAGGCGACACCAGGTGGAACAGTTGCAAATATTCCTTGTTCATCTATCACTAATACTCATAATACAAGTAAGTATGAATTTGTATTTTATAGATTGAATAGTATATTACTAATTTTGAACTAATTTATTTTGTTTTTTACTAAAAAACAAAGAAAAACATGTGTTAGAATTTATAATATAATTTTTCTGGCCAATTGTCAAAATAAAAGGCGTTTACTTATACTTCTTAATAATATAGATATATACTGTGTTGCTGTTGGGCTTAGGATTCCTCTACAGTCTGCGACTTGTTGGCGATAAATTCAACGATAAATGAGCAGCACGTACTTCACTTGTTTTTCAAAATATAATATATATATATATATATATATATATTCGGAACAAGTTAAACGTATGTACAACAAATTCTTCACACCATAGAGATTACAGGCATATCATAAACACTATTTATATACAGTTCTTTTTTTCTTGTCAAAAGTCCACTTAGGCCTATTCATTTGCTTTAGAATTTCAGTTTAAAAGCCGAACTATCTTCTCTGTTACTATCGCACTAGTATTCTTTGTGTGATTCACTTATAATTGTGGCGCGAATTACCGTAATCGTTTGATCTTCTTTCTTCTCTATTTCTTTTGTCAAAGTGCATTCAGGCTGATTCAATTACTTCAGAACCATGCTTTGACGGAATAAATCATTATTCTTATCTCATTCTCTACTGTTAGTCTTACTCTAACATTTTATATGTTAGGCCTATGTTAATTGTTAGGCCTATTGCTTCTACGGTAGTTAACTTTACGCCGAACTTTTCATTGGCCGCAGCTTTACTCTCGTCTGCTACTGTTCGAAAATCTCAACATAAATGAATTATAAACACACTTCCTAAAATCGTCTGCTTTTAACTCTCATTATGACAAAAATTAAACAATAATAAAATATACATCCACAAAATAAATTAATCAATTATATCTAAACTAAACAGTTTTTTATATCATGATAACATATAAAAAACGAGAATAGGCTAACACTTTTTGGGACGACGTGTGCGTGTGTGTGATTTGTTATAGTAAAGCCATATCAGGCTATCTGCTGTGTACACCTAGGGGAATCGAACCCCTGATTGTAGCATACAGTCGAAGGGAATGGCATGCCTCATTTCACACTTTAAACTAAAACATACAGTGGAAAGAGATCAACATGCGTCTTTTCACACATGTGAGTCAGTACAAATTTTAATGAAATCAATTGTAAAAAGGAATCGTTGTGTGTCATCTTAATGTTTACAGAAAAATATTTCAGTGATGATTATACAATAAGAGACTGTGTTTTAAAATATTATTATTGTCTGAAACACACGAAAAGAATAATTGGTTTACTCAAATATCTAGTTAGCAAAAGTAATACATCATTTAAACCACAATTATCTATTAGTGCAAAAACAAAGATATTTTGCTACATGTTTCGGACACGTTTGTTTTTGTAATCATCAGGCTATGCTAGTGTTAAATATATACACAAACAAACACCCAAACATATACGTGCTTCACAAGTTTTTGAGTGAGTCTATTTTTAACTTATTTGCTTAGTTATAATATAATTTTTCTGGACAATTGTCACTTTTATTGTAAAGTGAAGCAAGAACCAAAGCAAACTCATGGAAGTTGGAGATATGTGATGTATTTCTGAATAGAAATATGTGATAAAAATAGCATTAGTTTGTGAAGAATTAAAACACAACTTCTTCAACTTCAGTTTTTCGAAATGCCAAGGCTAGTTTCAATCACTAAAATTTAATAAACGTTGTGTGTGAGAAAATAAAGAACTACAACATGAATAAAAGTGTTAGTTAAATCACGTTTAAAATAAACAATATATATAGATTGTATTAAATAAAGACTATCGCATTCCTTCCATTGTCACATATATATTTTATTCTAACGAGATTAGAGTAGTGAATGGTGACAGCACAACGTAAAGTATAAAACTCCTAAGATGGAAGCATTATATAATGTTACTAGCGACAAGCTAATTTAAAGAACCAGTGTACTGGCATGTGCACTGGGTGTGCAAATTGCTCGGCATTTGGCAACATTTAACGACCTACTTCCCTTTGTATGACATTAGTCAACCAGAGCTCAAGTAATAACTATGTAACCCAATAAAACACTAATAATGAGTCCATTTTTACTTTCACAGTGTTGCTGGCTTGTTTTCATACGTTTAAGGAAGGAGGCCTGAGTTAATAGTCACAAATCAATGATAATTATAGGTTATTTCTTTTGTTCTCCCTATGTTTCTCTTTTCTTTTGTACATGAATACATAGGCAAATGAACAGAAATTGTTACTTCACAGCCTTCTTCCAAATACACTTTCTATTAATATGCTAGTCTGAATTTGTATTCCATCATTTTTTTAGAAAACTTGTATTTACTTCATGCATCTGTATATTTTAATCTTCACAAGTATTGCATTAGTTTCAGCATATTCCATTATAACTTTAAACCCGTTTTTATTTTCAGATATTCATCAATTTCCCTCTTAAACTCTTGTAATGTGCTGCCTTCCATATTGGCAATGGCAGCTCATTCCAAAAGCTAATCATAAAAACAAAACTGTCTTAGTTGGTTTCTAACCTGTTTTTCCAAATCTTAAACTTTTGTCATATCATCCAGTTATATTCAAAATATAGTATCAAATATCATCAGAGGGCTTTATACTTTCCACCTACCCACCCACGGATAGTCTTATAAACTTCAATAAAATGTTTTCTCAAGATAAGAGAGTCAAGAGATTTTAACCTGTCCCTAATAATAATAGCCCTCCTCTTAACCTTTTCCAATAAGTCAGTATCCAAAACTGTACATAATACTACCAGTGAGGCCCAACATATGATTTATATAAAGAATTAATTAATATATTTTGACTTTAATCAACGCATTTATAAATACATTATGAAATTTTATTAGCTTTACCACTAGCAACAGAACACTATCTTGATGTGACTTTTCTACCACATTCCAAGTTAGTTTTCTTCAATCAAGCTAATAAATGGATGCCTATTTACACCAATACGGCTAGAAACACCCAATAGTTTAATGTCGGCATCACCATAAATTATTAATTTATTGACTATGCTTCTATCAATATCGTTAATGTAACTAAGAAAAAGCAAAGGCCCAAGCATAACTCCTGAGGCAGCGCAACATCAGTTGCACACATGCTGACAGGACACCATTAATTACAAAGAAATCTGAATCCTACAGTCCGCACTCTGCTTCACTTAAACATTTTTTGTGTGTATGTTTGTTTGTTTGTTATGAATTTCGCGCAAAGCTATCCGCGCTAGCTGTCTCTAATTTAGCAGTGAAAGACTAGAGGGAAGGCAGCTAGTCATCACCACCCACCGTCAACTCTTAGGCTACTCTCTTATCAACGAATAGTGGGATTGACCGTCACAATATAGCGCCCTCACAACTGAAAGGGCGAGAATGTTTTGTGTGACGGGGATTCAAACCCACGACCCGCAGATTGCGAGTCGAGCACCCTAACCACCTGGCCATGGTTGGCCCTCTTCTTTTTCATAACTTCTGAATGATGGAAGTGTAATACGTTTCATCTCGTTACTTTCTATCATCTGCATCAAGGGCAACCATTCACCACTTGGTCATGCCGTGCCCTTTTTTATAATTCTAAGAAATCACTTTTCGTTTCGAAAAAGTATAAATCTTATCTTCTATTAACCCGTTAAAAATTTTCTGTTACTACGCAAGATGCTATCTACTCTGTCTGTTCTTTAGCAGTGAACAAAATATCTTAATAAGTAACCTGGTTTTTATGAAAAATGAAAACCTACTCTAATTAGAAGTTACAGGAAACTGGTGCTCAAACCATAGCTTCGGAGACCTTAATTCAGAATGTTATATTATTCATTTTTTAAAAGACGTCTTAATTAAGGTATTTCATATCTTGGTAAATGCCAAGACTCAAGGCAGGATATCCTGGTTAGGTTAACTAAATACCAATATGTTTATGGAACGTTAAAGTAAGTAAAATAAAGTTTTTCAAATGTTATTTTTTTCTACAGTATAGTAACGCAGTTCTTTTGTTGAAGGGAGGGGGGTATTTTAATTTATTAGGTCCAGTTCACATAACAGTAACATATTAGTTTGTTTCTTTTTTAAGATTTTTACAAGTTGCTTTCACTTGCACACTGTTCCAAGATTACAAATGATGTTCAAACGGAAATACCTAGTTACTGATTATAAGACTATCGTAAAAATATACTTACTTGTAGAATTTAATGGATAATTGATCGAACAACTGAGTATTTCCTCGAAAACTAATACTGATCTAAATACCTTACTGAAATTAAATATTTCATTGAATGATTGGCACTCTACCAAGTGAAAACTGAGTGGTGGATGCATTGCAAAGAGAGAGAAAGGTACTTGAGGAATGGATCTGTCATTCTTCAGAACCCCACCTCAGACATTTTTAAAATAAAAGGTATTTGAGGAATGGATCTGTCATCCCTCAGAACCCCATCTCAGACAACAGTTGTAAAGGGAAGGTATATTGAAAATGAATTTATCATCCTTCAGAGCCCAATTTCAAATAAAAGTTTTTATGTGTTGAGTTACCCTGCTGGGCTTTAATACATGTCCTAGATACTCAGGTTTTGAAAGCGTCGTTAGATCTTCATGCATTACTCTCGCAACAAGGAACAAAACACTTCGCTTGCAAAAGTATAAAAAACACATTCAATGGTTTGTTTACTGTAAAACACAAACCTACACTTTGCCCACTACGCATATCGAAACCAGATTTTTAGCGTTGTAAGTCCTGTGTCCTTCCACTGAGCCAACGGGGGGGGGGACTCATATCCAATGGACCAATGATGAATTGGGGTTCATCCTGAACTAAATAGAAAGCCTAAAATCATGGGAGAACTTTATAACCACACCAAACTCCATTTTCTCAAAGAAACATGACCCCTGTAGATTGGAGGAAGTATGACATGGACGTCGTAACTTCTACATCAAGGAAAATGGTAACATTAATGGTACATATT